GGTTCTCCATCACTCTCTTTCATTTAAGGCTCTCGTGAATGAGTTGTACATGTAGGACCCAAGTTCATTGTGATGTTAGTTGCTCTGGTATTTCGGGCTAGGAATCCTGCGCTTTGGCGTCCTCGGCTTTTCTTCTCATCTTAGATTTTTTCCTGTCATTCTCAGTTGTTCCAACCCCGTTTTTCTGTACACTTTCTTTTTAGTTTCTTTCTTTGGTTGGAGGATAGGCATCAAATCAGGCGGCACAATGCCATAGCTGATCGTGCCAGTTATTAGCTGGTTGGATATGCTTCTGGCTTTTCCTCGCTGGTTTCTGTCCCTTCCGGACCCTCTAGAGACTCCAGCTCCCGTTAGTCTTTCCATACCCCCCGGGGCGATGCCACTGACTGAAGTGTCTTTAGGCCATTTCCAAAGTGGACCATTTCTCGTTCCTATGCACAGTAGAATTGTAAATGGGCTGATTTAAGAATGTCACGCTCATAACTGTGCCTGAACTGCAACAGGGAACTGCTGCTTTTTCTTTCATATTCCTTACTATCGTTATTTTCCCTTTTTGTATGTTTGTCACACTCTTGTGAACTACTATTTCCGGGGTGCCTTCATAGTAGAAGCAGACTTTGTGCTGTTGAAACTAGAAAGGTGAGCATAGTAAGTCTGATTCCCTGTAAGGACTTCTCTGTTGACACCCACCCCTTGGCGCTCATATGACCTTATGCAGTTGCGAGCGCTGTAAAAACTTACTAAAACTAAACCAGCACTCACCATCATATAAAAGAAGCGACCACATGTGCGCCAGCAGTGTTCCCAGTGTTGTGGCCATTGTGATGTTTCTCTTTGACACAACTCATTTCTGGCACTTATATGACCTTTTTGTGTTGCAAGTGCCGTAAAACACTTACTAGAAATAACTGTCGACTGGTTTTTAAAAAAAAAGTATGTGTATCTTTGTCTGTGACTGTTCGTCTTTGGACGTCTGGTGTATCTTAGGTATGCCTGCTATTATTAGCCAGCTGCCAGCTTGTTGATGAGATTAGCCATTCAGTTACAGTCTTGTTGCTTCTTATTGCTTTGTAGGTTCATGGTTGGGGTCTGCAGAGTTGTTTTTTAAGGGGGGG